CACCTTAACCTTTACCCAGTTCGTTCTCCTTCACCTTCTTCAAGGTCAAGATTAAAAGCCAACGCATTGAAAATTTCTCTCTCAGCCCCTTTTTTCCTCCCCCTTCAAGGTATCTAAAAATAATGCCTGTCTCTTTCAAGGCGGTCTTACCACATTCTAGATGGTATTAAAGATGTCTGTGCAGACATGTCATCTTCTTTATTTAGTCCATCATTTTCTTGATGTCTTCAGCTCATTTCTCAGTCCAAACAGTGCTCTCTAAATAAATGGTAACATTTCTTTGGGAATTAAACCTATTTGGGAAAGAAATAAAAATGCAATACTCCATGTCTATTTTTCACACAGGAAGGAGCTCAATAAATGTTGGTTAAGTGAAAACATTCGGCACAATGACACTTCTTTCCGTTATCTGATTTGGTAACTCTCTGCCATATATCCTCTACTTGAGTTACTTCCATCACCAACCCATGGAGTAAACAAGAGCCTAGGGGCCACAACAGGGAACTTCAGGTTTTAGTTTGGAACGAGGGAGGCGCTGAAGGGCTACTTTTATATTCTGGCCCTCAGAGAATGACAAAAACATTGAAATATGTGATAAATGTGGAGGTATTTCTGCTTCACAATCCCATGATAAAGTGAGCCGAACTTCCCTCTAGTCAAACATGGGGACTCTGATTTTGGTAATGCATCTAACACTTACCAGACTCCTAGTATGCACTGGGCATTTTGCTGAGAGCTAGTTAAGGACTGACCTCTTCCCTGTAGGAAACCACACTCCACCAGAGAAAGCGAACACCCCCCAGCACTACCCAGTGCATACAGAAGAGGATTGCAGAGACTACCAGAGGAGGAGTGGAAGGACCCCAGAAAGCAACCCAACCCAAACCTCCGTTTGTGAAGACACCATGGCATGATGTGCAGGTCTCAGCTTTAGAAGCTGAGAACCTTATTTCCGTTTCCACTTTGTCTGCTATGTGCACACTTGGCTATGTATCAGTTTCTCTCTGAAGTTGCTGTTGTCCTCTGTAAAGTGGTAAAATAACTGCTGCAAGGCTGTTGTGAGGATTCAGTGAGTGGAATCTGTAACACAGTCAAGCCAGAGATGGAAAGAGAGGGCATTCAAAGGACAGCAGCTCCCTTCTGCTGTTAAACCAACTATATAACTCTGTACAGTATCTGTTTAAAGAAGTTAAGAGTAACCCACTGTCTTAGCTTGTGCAGACCTCGGTAAGACTTGGCTTCCAAACAGCAGAAATTTATTTCCCACAGTTCTGGAGGCGACAGATGACAAGATCAGGGTGGTAACAAATGAGATAAGGGAGTATTTCCTCATCCACCCATGGCTTCTTGCCCTGCCCTCATGTGGAAGAAAATGAGGGAGCTTTCTGGGGTCTCTTATATAAGGGTACTAATCTCATTCATAAAGCCTCACCTTCAAATCACCTCTCAAAGGCTCTGCCTCTGGATACCATCTAGCTGGGGATGAGGTTTCAACCTATGAATCTAAGAGGGGGGGGACACAAACATTCAGTCTGTTATACCTGCTCTCAAACCAGTCCCTTCCAAGAAGACTCGTGTTTCTCATATTGGAGAGACATCTGTTAACTGGTACTGCATTTAGAACTTTCCAATTTGTAAGAAATCCAAATAATAACCACAGTTGCTCCTGTTAGTTGATACGTCACAATGAACATTAGGAGGTTGCACCCAGATCTCCAGTTAGCCCCCAGCCCCTCGTTCTCACAACTGCTAGGAGTGTTCATGGTTGGCCACTGTCGGCAGAGTCCTTGAAGAAATGACATCCATTGAAGAGGAGGTTCATGGTTGGCCACTTCATCCAAGGTTTTGTTCCCTCCCAGGGATAGCCTATAGCCCAGGAGTCCTCAAAGTATAGCCCATGGACTACATGCAGCCTGCCTAGGGCATTTGTCTGGCCCACCAGGTGTTTTTGCTGCCACTGCCTGTCCTGCTTAGCAGCTGACTCGTCCTGGGGCCCGCAGTCCAGCCCTTCAATGGTCTGAGGGACAGTGAACTGGCCCCCTGTTTAAAAAGTTTGAGGACCCCTGCTTTAGCCTATGAATGGTTAATGTGGGGGGTACAAAGGCCTAATACCCCTGTCTTGATTTGTAACAACTGAAATACCAGCTCCAAAAGGATCAGCTGGGGGCTTTACCGCAACTGTGTGAAGTTTGACTTCTGCCTCTACCCAATTTCACTTGGCTTATTCTCTTATAAGAATTGGCCTCCCCACACCTCCTGCATGGTACTGTCTGCCTGTGATTCTGTTTCCTGGTGATTCTGACCTATGACAAACCCATTGTCCCATTTAATCTGTGTATCAATCCCAGGAAGGGGAAATTGGTATCTGCACTTTTCTTTTGAGTCAACGGAGGGTTTATTTTGCTGCCCCCCTGTGCAGAGCTAGTAAGTGACAGGGTAGAATCTGAACTCATATTCTGCTTGATTCTGTTCTCTTTGTCACTGCACTGTGGAACTTTCCTGAAGCACTAAGATTAACCAAACTCAGCCCTGGGACACAGTTCAATATCCATCTTTCAGTCTTTAGTGAGAATAAATACAAGATTTATCCCTTTAAATAGTATGACTGTGCTTTTTAAAAGAAAAATCTGTAGCTGATACTGATGTTCAGTGCCTTGCCCAGGGACCCATGTGACATGTTTCTGCCCGGGCTTATTTCCAGGGAGGGGAAATATGGCTTTGCAGATAGATTTGCATACCTTCTCTTGCCAGAAATTTGAAATATGGAATCCAACAGACTCCTTCCTTTTCTCGCTGTAGCTGCCAAGGACTTTAGGGCCAACATTAAACGTGGTCATTTACTTACTCAGAGCCTGGTACATCTAATTCTTCTGTTTCACACAGATACCTCTCTTTTGCACCAAAGCCCGTGTTGTCCACTGTGCCTTGAGTTAGGTGCTCACTTGATGAGGTGATAGAAATCGTTATTTGTATAAGTTAGAGAAGATAACCATTGCTGGCTGTGCCCTTACCCTTTTCAGGAAAGCTTCTCCACCTACAACCTCAGATGCTCAGGGAGCCAGGTGTGGTCTGATATGATCCCACCTGCCAGGCCACTGCCCATTGGACCACAGCTGGGCACCATGCAAATATATCTTCTCTCTGGAATTAAGCAAGATGAGTCTATCCGTAGGTCAGCCAGCAGAGTGTGAGATATGGTGCTTGTTAACTGAGTCCTTCTTTGGAGAATTTGAACTGCATACATGGAAGGATTTTTTTTTTTTTTTTTGGTTGATAATGAAGTAGAGAAAGGCTGACACAGAGACAAGAGCTGAGTCATGTTAATTATGAAACATAATTTAAAGTCTCCTGCTGCTGCTGCCACAAATCTAGACCCATTCTTCCAGTCTGGTTTTGTAAAGCCTGGTCCTGTTTGGATGCATTATTTTTCCCCATGAAATTCTACCTTTGCTTTGCATTATGGCTACATAGGTATATATACTCACCGTTCACATCCAAATGCAGCCATTCTCAATGGGCTTCTTTTTTTTTCCTCCTAAAAAAGTGTGTGTGGTGTGTGTACATGTGCATGTGTGTAGAGTATGAGTATGTATGTAATATGCTATTATGCGTATATATGTGATACATTAATACATATGTGTTATCTTCATTAATTCATGATGCCCCTCATTAATCCATATATATATATATATTATACATATATAACACACACATACATGTACAGAGGATGACAAAATGTATACATATTTTAAGAAAGGAAAAAATTATATTAAAATTGGAATACTCAATAGCTACTGATATTATTTGTTATCCTGTATGTTGTATCTTATATCTCTTATAATTGCAGAAGTCAAACGTGATTTGAGTATTACAATTTCAATAGTTTTTTACTTTCTCAAAATATGTATACATTTTTTGGCCACCCTCTGCATATATATATGAAAGAGGAATTTCAAAGCAGACTTCGCAAATACTGGTCGATACGAGCGTTCTCGAAGAAACCTCAGCCATTGTTGAAAAATGGTTGATTACGATAAAAGTGTGAATTTCCAGTCTCTCTGAAGAAAATCTGAAGGTGTTGTACCTCTAGCCTTCAGTTCCATGTAAAAAAGGTTGTCTAGAGCTGGGTCACGGGCTGCCCCATTTGGATCCCGGACCCCACCTCTCCCTGCTGTTTCTCAATATCAAGGCATACTTATTTTTTATTCTGTGAGTGCTGCCTTCTTCCTTAGAGGTGCTGGGCATTTCTTTGAAAATCTCTCTTTGTCTCCGTGTCTGTCTTTCTGTGTCTTTCTCTCTGTTAATCTCTATCTCCATCTCAATCTCTCTGAAAATACACTTGATCTTAGCCAAAAGAAGCAAGAGAAGCAATCACCTCTCTGAAAATAAAAAACAGAAAACATAGCACGGGGAGGCCAAGAGGCCTAGATACTATTTTCCTTACCCCTCACCAGTCTCTCCCATTATCACCCACCTGACCCCTGAGGGCATCAGTGATGCCTGTTCCAAAGAGGATGCCTTGCAGACACAGACATTAGCTTTTTTCATTTCTTTTGGAACTTAATATTTAATCATTCTTCACTCGAACTATTCTAAATAGTTTATCTATATTAAAGTATTTAATTCTGTGAGGCAAGTTCTGTTAATATTTCCATTTACAGATAAAGAACCAAGGCTGGGGACCAAGGGAGAGTGACTTGCCCAAAATCCATGCCGAATAATGACAGATTTAGGATTTGAACCCACTTTCCCCTTCTCTCTTAAGAGCCTACTGTTTACCACCAGGCTGAACTCTCTCTCTTTTCTGATTTGTCTGCCTCTGTTGGCTTCTGACAGTGTGACTTGTACGTTTTAAATGCTCTGTAAACGCCTGTAGACAAGTGACATCAGGTTTCCTAGGGAGTGTGGGTTCTATACACCTCTCTGTGTTCCTGCAGCATTTGCAGTGAGACATTGAATGTGGGGAGAAAGTAGCTGTCTTTCTCTCTGTTCCCCCACAGGAAGCAGCTTCGTGGTGAGTGAGGGAAGCTACCTGGACATCTCTGACTGGTTAAACCCGGCCAAGCTGTCCCTGTATTACCAGATCAACGCCACCTCCCCATGGGTGCGGGACCTCTGCGGACAGAGGACAACAGATGCCTGTGAGCAGCTCTGCGACCCAGAGACTGGTGAGCCATGGGGGTAGGACTGGGGGTAGAGGGAGGGAGAAGGTGGGTTAAGGAGGGTTTGCGTTCCCTCTGCCTGAGGCACGTGGATTCTGAGCCAGTGATGAGGGGCTTGTCATAAAGGTCCATCACTCTGATTGATGCTAGACTATGTGTTGCCATTGCTTGTCCAGGGAGGAAATTCTCAAAGAGCCACAGGATCTCAGAGTTGGAAAGGACCTCAGAGGACATCTAGTCTGTTTCTAGCAAAGGAAAGGGTCTGAATGTCCTCAGATATCCATTAGGGAAGATCCTATTTACCTCATACTAGCTGGATGTTCTTTACAACACACTGCCTATCTCTGAATACCAAAGAAAGAAAATAGCACCTAACTGGCCAGGCTGTTCTTAGGATTAACTTCACAGAAAGCTCCTAGCATATTCACCTATTCATTCACTCCACAGATATTTCTTGAGTGGCCAGACTCAAGTTTAATTAAAACATATAGCATAGCAGTGAACAAAATAGGCAAAATCTCTTCCCTCTCATGAAGCTTACATTCTTTGGGGGAGACTCTGCAATATGGTAGCCACTAGCCATAGGTGGCTATTTATTTTAAATTAACTAGAAGTAAGTGCAATTAAATGTTAATATTCTCAGTCGCACTACCAATATATCAAGTGCTCCATAGGCAGCTGTGACTGGCAGTCACCTTATTGGACAGCACAAATTTAGAATATTTCTATCATTCTGGAAAGTTCTGTTGAATGGAGCAGCAATACACAAATACCCAGATGAGTATAGAGCATCTGTCCAGTGATGGTAAATGCTGGTGCTGGAGGAAGTCCAGAGCACATGGAGCGCTCAGCTGGAGTGTGGGTGGAGTTGTCACTATGCACATGGAGTTGTCAGGGAAAGTCTCTCTGAGAAGGTGACATTTGAGCAGACACCTGAAGACAGGAATGGAAGCAGCTGTGTCAGTATCTGAGGAAGTGTGTCCTAGGCAGGGGAAACTCAGGGGTCTGTGCCTGGGCAGGAGCACTCAATGTTTTGCTTAGCACCAGTGGGAAGACTGGGACAGCAGAGGGGAGTGAGAGTGAAGAGGAGGAGGAAGGGAACTCTGGGGAGCAGAGGGTTGGAGTGGGGCAGTCTCGGCACCTGGTACAAGGTGGTGTAGACTTTGGATCTTACTCTGAGTAAGATGGAAAGTCATCCAAAGATTCTGACCAAAGGAGCAACAGGGTCTGATTTCCATTTTAGCAGGCTGCTGTGTGCTGAGTGCATTTAGGGGTTGTTTAAGGGGCTTATTTCTCTCATCCAGGCAAGAGTTAGTAGTGGCTTGGAACATGGGAGTAAGGGGAGAAGATGGTGAGAGATTATCAGATTTCAGGAGTATTTAGAGTGCAGTTTTAGCAGACTTTGTTATTGGATATGGGATGTGAAAAATAGAGTGGGGTCAAAGATGATGCCAGTTGTTCAGGTGAACAGTGGGACAGGTTGGCTTCTCATGCACTGAGCCAGGGGATGCTAAGGGAGTGTCAGGGCTGGATGAGGATGATGCGTATTTGGGTCCTGTCTTGAGAGCCCCAAGCTAAACCTGGGCTTCAATACCAGTGTGGCCAGCAACCATGCTGTAGTGGGCAGTGAAGGGGACTGGTATGGGTATTTACAGAGTGCCTTTCACAGGATACTTCTCTTATCTGGGGCATGGCCTAATTCTTGGATATGTGACCCACGAACGGGAGTGCCTTACATGGGAAACTTATTTATCCTGGCAGGCACCCTTGTCACTCTTTTCTAACCTGTGTCCTCTTTATGCCTGCCTGACCATCACTCTGGAGCCTGTGCTTGTGTTCTCACTGGCATCCCGGATCTGGGTAGCCCTGGTCCTTCAGATGAAAGGCACAAATTCAATACGCCCGACAATAGGAAACAAATCCAAAGATATTAGTCATAGAACTCAATTTAGGAGGACAGTCCTCTGTCCTCAGGCCACAGAGGGCAGGAATGAAGAGAGAGTGAGAGGAGGGGGAAGCTAGCAGTATATATAGTGGAGAATAGGATTACTTAGAGTTCATGAGCAAATATCTGAATGGTCTCTTCACAGGAAATTCAGGAAAGCAGGTAGTCTGGTGTGCTAGGTAGAAAAGATGCTCTGGCCACTGGCTGGGGCCATTCTGGTGGTGTTCTACTTCTAATGCCTCAGCTGCTGCTGTGTCGTTTCCATTATAAGGAGATATCTGGATCAACCACTTTGAGGAACTGGAAGGAAGTATGTAACTAGAAGCTATGTCAAGGGTGACAAGCCCTGCTTCTATTAGAAAAAAGTTAAGCTCTATTGACCTCCTTCATGTTTACATGGATGGAGCTAGAAAATGTTCTTCTTAGCAAAGTATCTCAAGATTGGAAGAAAAAGTTTCCAATGTACAGAGCCCTATTATGAAACTAATTTATAGCTTTCATATGAAAGCTGTAACCTAATTATAGCCTAAGAATATGGGGAGGGGGGAGAGGGCTAGTAGGAGAGGGGGCTGGATGGGTTGGGGGAGGGTGATTGGAGGGATCACCTCTATGGTTTATCTTACAAGGGTACAAGTGAATCTTTCTAAAAGTAGAATATAAATGTCTTAACACAATAACTAAGAAAATGACATTTAATCAGTTTGATGAAAATATTTCAAATTGTATATGAAAACACCACACTGTACCCCATGATTGCATTAATGTACACAGCTATGATTTAATAATAAAAAAAAGAAAACAAGGTAATATAAACTTAGAAGAATTCCCTACAGGTCCATAACTCAAATTCAAAGAAGAGGTGTTAGCTGGAGATAGAAATGAACTATCCAGCAGCACCTAGGTGGTATTCAAACCCATGAGGCACTGTCTTATTTATATTAAATGCCCAGTAAGTGGACAATATCTTGTTCATAACTAGTGCTCAGTAAATGATAGTTATGATATTTCACAAATAGGAGAATGGGAAGTAGAGAGAGAAAGGGACTTGCCAAGGTTACAAAGGAATTTAGAAGAGGAGCCAGGATTAGAACCCTGCTTCTCTTTAGTCCTGGTCCTCTGCTCTTCCTTACAATTTGTATTGGTCTCTTTTCTCTGGAGCTTCATCTCTCTCTCCATTCACAAGAGTATGGCCAGCTTGCAGAGATACCATGACAACAGCCTCTGGTAGAGGAGGGCAGAGGTCTCAGTGATCTGTGCAGTAGCCTGGGTCAAGGGGCTGCTTCCTCTATTCAATTATTATTCTACTACTCAATGGAGTACCTGTTCAGAAGTAAGGAGAGGGATTCTCCAGGCTAACTCTTGTGTCTTTGGAGATCAGGATTTGCCTTTGTAGCTACCACTTCCTCTTATTCTGTAGTTAAGAGCCTATTCAGAATGCATTTTTGCAGCCTGTAAATACACCAATCGGGGAAACTGGAAAAAGTGGTGAAACTCTTGTACAGCATCTGATCAGGCAGTTGAAGCTTCTATGTCTTTAGGTCAGGTCTCTTATGTTTTCCTTCCTTCCTTCCTTCCTTCCTTCCTTCCTTCCTTCCTTCCTTCCTTCCTTCTCCTCTTCCTCTTCCTCCTTCTTCTTCTCTCTCTCTGTCTCTCCCCTCCCTCCCTCCTTCTTTGTCCTCCCTTAAACAGGAACTGGGTAAATGGTAACCTCTGATTTCCTGGCTGATCTACTTTTTGGTGCAAGTTTGTGGTTTCTGATGATCTTCTGTGTTGGCCACAGACTTGTGGCCATGATTCTAGACAGTGCATCATCCAAGAAGCAGGTATATGTTAGCTAGTTTGGAAAATAAGCAGAGATGGAAAGTCATTGGATCCTACTGGGGTTCATCTTCCCAACTTCGCTGCTGATGCTGTTGATGCCTAGAGAAGGCAGGCAACAAGACCGAGGTCAGAGGGGTGGCAGCAGCTTGCAGAGCCAGCATGGAGACCCAGGTTCCCATGCTCTCAGCTAGTGTTTATCAAGTCTCAGGAAGTTCTGGGGTGGAGCCTGAGATTCTGCATTCTTGGTAGACTGGTAGCTATTGCTGATGCTTCTGACTCAGGACTTCCATGTTGCAGGAAGACTGCACAGTCCCAAATAGCCCTTTTACATTCTGCATTCACAGTGAATGGCTCAGCTGCAAATTTGCCAATTTAATAATTTTGATGAAACCATGTTCACTGCTATCCACCTCATTTTCTGTCTCCATTTGCTTTGTGCTCTGGGTTCTAGGTACTCTAGCCACCTGCAGTTCCCTTAAGGTACCATCTTCTCTCACGCCTCCATCCCTTTCACAGCCTGTTTCTTCCCCTTCACTTGGTTTTGTCCTTCTTTGTCCTTCTAGGAGACCAGGGACTTCTTTTTACTTCCTTCACCTTCTACCCAGTAGCCCTCCTTCTGTAAGTATTCCTAAATCTCTCTTCCCCACTGAAGAGTCCCCTCCCCTCTGGTCAATGCAGAGTTATTGCTTTTTCCTTGTCTGGGTAGATCACCAGAATCTAAACTTTGTTGGAAGCTGTGGAGGGAGGTTCAAAATGTGTGTGTCATTCATCTCTCTGTCTTTCAAACTCAGCATAATGCCTGATATATAATCAGCGGACAGAGAATAATGAAAAGAGGAAGGAAGATGGCAATTTCCCTCCCTATGATGCTTGAAACAATTGTATACTGAAATTCTAGTGGCTTCCTCCAAATCCACTCAAATAAGAACTGAGATTAAATATTTTCCAGCTGCAGAAAAGCTGGGTCACAGAACAATGTCCAGAAGCCAGCCGTCTGAACTCTAGGATGCTCTGGTCTCTTCCTGCCATCTGTTCCGCATATCCCCAAGAGCATCCCTCTTTGGCTGGCCACTTACTCTGCTGACACTCTCAATTATACCCCAACACCCCACGCCAACTCTTGCCTTCTCATTGAAGTTCATCTACTCCCTCCACCTAAAATGCCTTCCACCCATTTATCCTCTACCCCTTAATATTTGCTATTTAATCATCCACCTTCTGAAGTCCTACTCATTATTTG